ACAGCGGAGAATAAACAGAAGGGTAACCATGGTAACTATGGGCGGGAAGTCTTCTTCGCTGCTTTTGTGGCAGACTACAGCGCCACTTACAGGCCTGGCATATGTACTACAGCGTCTCCAGCGCTTTCGAGCGGCAATGGCCGGCCGTGGCCCAACCCCACATTCCCCTGATAGGTGGAGAGTTGGCCCAATAGCCGTAGCGCCACCGTCCTGACGTCAGGACAGTGTTCAAATCTGGATCAGTTTTTATCAGATCCGTTGCAGCCCCTTTTTTAGAGATTTGGGTATGGAGGAAAATAGAGAGGGTTGTGTTTTCTGACACTTGGTGAGTTCCCTGGAACACCGGGGACACATATTCATGTATAAAAGACGTACCAAAGTGCATTTTGCATGATAGGTCCCCTTTAAATGAAATAAAACTAATGTGTTGAGTTATATCAGCTGCCAAATCTACCAAATATATGGTGTTCTTAGTTTCCATACCTCCTGTGTTTTATGAGCGACTTATCAAGTCTTAGCAAACGGCATAAAACATGATTAAACATGATAGTATATAAAACCATGCTCGTATCTATACAACCTATAGAAATACAAAATGTCCTCAGTTTAGACGTAATTCTGTCCTTCTGCTTACCGCATCATTTATGAGAATACATGTCATAACATTAAGACAACATATTCGAGGTGGCTTTCTATTGAAAGCCACCTCGAATATGTTATTACATATCCGTATATATTTATTTACGCAGACGTGGAAAGTGCAGCTTCCTCCCATGAATGTCTCTCTCCAAAAGGTGCAGCTTTGACCGGAAAGCTTTAACCGCCTCGTACATCTCAGCAACAGTGTGGTTCTTGCCTTGCAGCTGCAGGTTAAGGTGATTTAGACGAGACATGATGTCACACAAAAAATTAACATCTGCTATCACCTTGGTGTCAGTTAAAAAGCTCAAAAACTCATGGGCTTTTTGGCTCTGCAGGCTTGATAAGAACCAGTTCATCACGCAGGTCGCACACCCTCTCCAACACACGGCCCTTGCTCAGCCAGCGAACATTGTTGTGCAGTAAGAGATCCTTGTGTTCAGCTGACATTTCCTCTAGCAACGATCTAAAAAGGCAATGCTGCAGACTAGAGCTCTCACACACAAAGTTAACCAGTCTCGTCACAGTATCCATCGTCTCTTTCATTTTTCCACAGTTTTGCGCACAACATTGATTTGTGAATTAATGCAGTGAAATGTCAGGAGCGCCGGGTTAACCGCGGAAAGCCTGCTTACCAAGCCCTTGTGCTGTCTAACCATCGACGGAGCCCCGTCGGTTACAACAGAGACGATTTGACTCACATTCAAACCATTCTTTTCGAAGAACTATGTCAGCTCGTGGAAGATTATTTCCCCGGTCGTGCGCCCGGAAAGAGGAAGCAAACACAGCAGCTCTTCCCGCAATATCTTCCCATCCCAAAAAATCGTACGAACACAGACAGGTGTTCCATGTCGGTTCAGTCACAGGGCGAGTCTTCAGGTTGTCTGATTTGATTACAGCTACATTCTGGATGCAAATCAAACAAGTCGGTTTTGCATTCAAATCAAACAAGTCGGTTTAGCATTGGTGTGGTCCGGTAAAAAAAAACAATACTTCTCAGTCCAGTCAGTTTTGAACTGACGATTCAACCCAGTCTCACGGCATTTCGTGTTATAGTCACAACATTTAATCTATTGATTCGTGTTCACCAACACGATTTCCCCCTTTTTTTCGTGTCACACAGAACGATTTTAAAAGCAATGTATTTCTATTGGTAGTATGTTTCGTGCCTGCACCACGTCTTTTTGTCCGGTCGGGTCTTGGAAGACTGGAAGCTGTGTGGTTCATAAAAACATTTTTTTACTCAATATCAAGCCACGATTATTGTTTTTATTTTAAATCGTATAATGTCGGACTTGTTTTGTTGTGTTTTTTTCCTTCTAATTTGATATTCTTTTCTAAATAACACACTGTTATTTACTCAACAATAACACACAATTATCCTTGTTTTTATTTATTTGTTTAATTCTATAATCTCTGGCTTTTTTGCTGTCCGTCAGGAACTGAATTTCTAATTTCTGCACCGGATCTGATAAAAATGGATCCAGATTTGAACACTGTCCTGACGTCAGGACGGTGGCGCTACGGCTATTGGGCCAACTCTCCACCTATCAGGGGAATGTGGGGTTGGGCCACGGCCACGGCCATTGCCCAACCTCTCATTCGCATATAGGCTGTCGGCAGGCTCCCCCAGTCACATCTATGTTTTTGCGTACTCTAATAACGATGTCGTCCAAGGGAGTTAAACGTTGTGCTGTTGTTGGCTGCAATAATCTGGACAAGGGCAAGGTACTGCATGCACTGCCATCTCTGGAAAAAGACAGGAATCTGTGGCTAGAGTTTATTTTCCAGGGAGATGTGCCAGAAGACTACAGCAGATTTCTGCTTGTGTGTTCACAACATTTTGCCCCGGACATGTTTATGAACGTCACTCAAGTCAAAGAAGGATTTGCCTCCAAACTAAGGCTAAAACTGGGATCAATACCCACCATCCGGGACCAGGCCAGTGAGGCCACATCCAATTTGGAAGCTGTAAGTTTTTATTTAGCGGTGTTTTTTCTGATAAAGCTATTCTAGCTTGTAGCATGTAGCATGTAGCATGTAGCTTCACAGTATCAATGTCCAACACAGTCTCACGGCATTTCGTGTTATAGTCACGAAATTAATCTATTGATTCGTGTTCACCAATACGATTTCGCCATTTTTTTCGTGTCACACAGAACGATTTTAAAAGCAATGTAAATAATAACAAATTAGAAGGAAAAACAGATTAAAATAAAAAAAATACAGATTTCAATATTCTGACACAGAACAATTTTAGAGGCAATGTATTTCTATTGGTAGTATGTTTCGTGCCTGCACCAAATAATAACAAATTAGAAGGAAAAAAAGATGACAAAAAATACAGATTTCAGTATTCTGAGGCTCTTTGCCCCATTTCTTTTCCTCGTGGACGGCAAAAAACTCCCACATTATACAATTTAAAATAAAAGGGATAGGGTTAGGCTTAGGGTAAGATATTGAGTAAGAACATGTTTTTATGAACCACACAGCTTCTGGTATTCCAAGACACGACCGGACAAAAAGACGTGTTGCAGGCATGAAACATACTACAAATAGAAATACATTGCTTTTAAAAAAAAATGCGAAAATCGTGTTGGTGAACACGAATCAATAGATTAAATTAATTTCGTGACTATAACACGAAATGCCGTGAGACTGGGTTGCAATGTCGCCTCAAACCCAAACAGTAATCGGTTAGGTGTTTATATGTTTTTGTAACATTTTATTTTATTTTGTACGCTCCTCTGTCTTTGCTTTTGTTTTAATTATCAGGCATTTGATAACATGCTCAGACGTACTGCCGCAATGGCGATCTGTGTGAAGGCTGTAAAGCCACGCCATAGCAGATAACATAAGTATTTATTCTCGTATTTATTAGTATTTTGTATCCTCTAAAATCATATAAAGTAAGTTATAATAACAAACGTAATCTTCTGTAGCTAAGTGCCGTTTTTTGCAGCGTTATATGTACAAGCTTTTGTGATTGTAGTCTGTAAGAATGATCAGATATCATCGATCTGTAAGCTACGCTACGCTAATGAGACACGCCGTTTTTTGCAACGTTATATGCAAAAGCTTTTATGTGTTTACTTGTTAGCACACATGAATTTAAATGGGTGTGTGTGTGCACGACTGTTAGGATCTATGGGGGAGGGGGGAGACACACCACGAGTAAAACCGAGCTAAAGCACCGTTGGTTTGTTGTTGTTGTTGTTGTTGACAGGGCCTTACCTCCAGCAACAGGCTAATTAGTGGCTAGCACTCATTACAGTCAGTCTACTGAGCTCAGCCCCTCTCCAACACATCATCTGTATCCTGTCAGAAACACAGCATGCATGTTACGGTTCCAAACTAACTCAGATTGGAAAAGGCTAAGCAAAGAGCTTTGCTAAATAGACAGTTTTAGCCCCCATCTTTTGGGATTTCAGACTATAATTATCCAAATAGTATTTTCTCATCCTGAATACTAAGTTGAGATGATTTTGTTCTAACTATGTTTTCTTCTTTACAGGCCAGCACCTCACATGCTACCAGCAGATTATCTGTGATGATAGATTCTGCATGTCAGACTGACCCACCGAAGCACCGTACTGTTCGTACACAGCTATCCTCGAGGACTCTTAAGGTTCACGTCGAAGTACAGGTTAGAAGCACGTTTTTAAAATGTTCTTTGGATACATCTTGACATTCTGATGTTGTAGCCTTGAATTTGTGTGCTTGTAATTGTTGTAAAGTGTATTTGTTTTATCATTTGTTTTTTTTAAAAGTCAAATACAATTATGTTACAGCTGTCCAGGCTAAAATTCCCTGCAGAAGCTTTGGTGTCGGCACACAAACAAGAGGATTTTGAAAGCTGTGGCCAAACTCAGCCCCCACCACCAGACTTCATCTTTGGAGGCATTCCACAGCGTCATCCTGCGCTTTGCTCCAAAGAATGTTGTGTTTCCATTTCTTGGAATGTTGTGCAGGTAAAATAAACCATAGTTACTTATAATTAGTGACAATTTGTACATCCTTTGCTATTATTTACACTTTTTTTTTCTCATTACGGAAATTAAAGACTGTACCTGGCAGCCCTGCACTACAATGAAAACGCTGATTGTGCACAAGCCACTACATCCACTGGAAACCCTCTGTATAAACTGCAGTTCCCAAAGGCCAGGAAGGGAGAATGCAGAGCAAAACCCATAAAGACTGACCCCACATTCCGTAAGTGTTTAAAATATTTATTATACAACTATTTACAACCCAAGAGTAGACTTTCATATAAATTCGGACGCAAGCACATGAAAAATAAATCTATACATCTATTGAAGTGCCTGTAATATTCACATTTTTAAAATGAAGTATGTATTCCACAACAAATTATAAAATAAAAAAAATAGAAACAACTTTCAGTGTTTTACATGCATATAAAAATCTAAACCAAATATTTGTTTTGCTTTTTTTAACATTGCACAGGCTACGTGGCCAACTTGATGGACCTCATCTTCGACCAAGTCTTTGTGGACCCTGCACCATTCACACAGGAGCTTCTGAAGATACCCATCCCAGAGGACCTGTGTTCCCAGTATGAGCGACCTGACAGGGAGGAGGTCATCGCCGGTTATGCTACACGGTTCAATTTGACTGTCTGAACCCAACATAGTTGTTTTGCGGATCAGGAAACTCCCTGTGAATCCTGAGGACAACGCAGGCCGGAATGACTACTCTGATCTTGCGTCCAAGGAAGCCCCAACACCAGCTCACAAAGCTTCTGTAGGCTAGATACCTGTGACGCCTGAAATAATTGCAAATAATATTTAGTGAAAAGCCTATTTAATTTATGTAAAATACCGTTGATTTTGAATAAAGTTCCGACAGTTTATATCAAATGTGTCATGATTATTCATATTTGGATGGGTAAAGTATATGCTGCTTTCAAAAGCATAAGGTTGTGTGTGTGGACTTTTTTTGTCGTACACATGGGTGTGTTATGCCATTGCTGTGTAGTATATCATAATAGTAACGCCATGTACAATGACAGAATGAAATGAAAGATCAGTATTTATTTTCATAAACAATATTAGCAGACATTTTACAATTTCAGTCAAAACAAACAAACCACTCACTGCTGTATTTGCCTCATCTGTAGTCTCCCATGTTCAGCTCTGTATATATTGAAAGCATTCTGCAGGGAGAACACATTTAGGCACACAGGCTCCAAACCAGGATGGTCCACCATACAAGGCACAGAGAGCTCAAGTTCCTGCATCCGTCTTGACACCTACAGTAGTGTGATAAACATATTGAATGACATGTGAAAAATGTATTCTCTAAACAGAGAACTTAGTGAAGCTATCAAAAATGTTACCTGTGGTATCTCCATGCAGCACACATTCTCTGGTTCAGACGGCATTGCAGCGCAATTTGCACATGTACACCTGTAGAAAGAAGTCAATAACTGGGCTTTTAAAAACACATATGAAAATACACACATTGCTGACAACTGAGGTGTTTAAGCATCTGGAGTTATACTTTTTATGACCCTAAGTTATTGAACTTTCCAACGGTAACAACAGTTGTTGCACGATGTTGGAAGAAAAGGACTGTATATTATAAATAAACGCAATGAGGCCATTGTATATATATGCTGAAAATATGAATGTCTCCCTATGTAAATATATATATGTACTAGGGATGCCAGCGATTATTCGATTTTTCGAATATTCGTTACAGTCTCCATAATCGAAAATTATTTTTAAAATTCGATTTTATTTATATATATTTTTATTATTATCTATGTTTTTTTTTTTTTTTCCTGGCTTAGTTTCAACCAAAATATAGACTAATGCTAATAATAGTAATAGTATTAATAATTGTAAATGGCCATTGGTCACACCACCAGTTTGTTTTACTGTAAACTTGGAGGAAGCCAGCAGCGCAGGCTGCGCAGAGTGCAGACAGCTGCTGCCTGCTGCAGCCTGCTACACACCGACCCCGCCCCCCCCCCCCCCCCCCCCCCCCCCCTCTCCGTCACACGTGCGATTGATTTATTGGCGATATACAGAACAGTGAGAAGAACACAACTAAAGATGAACAAAGCGGCACGTTCAAAGAAGAGAAGTGACAAGTGCAAATGAAGTAAAATGCAAGCTCTGCGAAAATACTATTTTTTCGGGGGGGGGGGTGCGGCGAATAATCGATTAATATTCGCCAGGGCTGTCCGATTTTCGAATTTGATCATGGTCAGTTTCTGGCATCCCTAATATGTACCGCTGTTTTTGCGTTACAAATTCTATGTTACAAACTGTACACATTGCATTCTTGCTAATTAGCCAAAATATGAACGGAAACGGAATAATTAGCAAGCATCGTAACAAATAGGGACAACAGCTTGTCAACTAACCATTCAGAAACGTCCTGCTGCAACCGAGATGTTTGCACCTCCACCGAAACCTCCGCTTCTTCAGGGTCAGATTCTGGATCAAATTCGTAATATGCTTGAACACATGCATTGCTCTGAGATAACATGTTTATTCTCCACTCGTAATCACAGCAAGCATGGTAACATGACACTCGTGCCGGGGCCGTGTCACGCCCCCCTCTCCTGCAGGGGGGCGTGGTCAGCTGCAGCTCACAGAATCAGACCGTAGACAGCAAACAGCACATAGAGTGAAATGAGGCATGGCTAAAATGCATGATCTGTTTGGTATTTTGAAAACATAAACGTATAAATATACCTTATATAGGTATGGCCCTACAATATATTATTCAAATATAGCATGATAGGTCCACTTTAAGATATATTTTTCTGTCTTCTACTGGGACATGTTGGTCTTGACTTGGGACTTCGTCTTTTGACTTAAATATCTTGATTAGAGTCTTGACTTGACTTTTGGGTTGGTACTTGTCAGTTTTGACTATCTTCTGAACATCTACACTGGAAACCAGCAAAATTCAAAAAAGCAAACCCTGAGCTTAAATTTGCTGATGTGTCATTAACAGAATGTGAAAAGGTTAAACATGAAGTGTAGGAAAGGATGGGCATGCAGCTTGCAGGTATCAAAGTTAATATAGGAACTATGAATTCTCACATACCTGTTGTCATGCATGTAGAGACAAAGGCGCCTGCAAATGAACCCATTGCTCAGGAATCAGTACATCTCTAGCTGCAGGCCTGAAGCTGGTGCATGTGTTAGCAGATTACTGGCCGTTACTCAAATTCAAACTTTTTTTCATTCCTCAGATCAGAACACTGCTGTCAGCTCAACAGATTCACTCCAAACGTCGAGTGCCTCTAAAATCACAATCCTCTCCTTTACATGTGCTCATAAATCAACAAAGCAGTTTTTTTTCTTTACAGATGAATGCAGAGTCAGAAAAAGACAAAGAGGTCTAAGAGACTTTGAGATTGAAAGGCAGAGTGCTGCAGGGATGACGTGATTTATTATTAATAGCACATAAAAAAGGAACATTCACAAAAGACAATATACATTTAAGCTGCAAACAGCAAAGAACGGGCACTGTGATAACATTTGACCATGTACAGTTGACCTTTAACAGCACCTGTGTTCATGGTGAAGCATCAAAATTGGCTGTGGACTGACGTATTTTAAGTTGTTTAAGGAAAAAGGAAGTAATGCTGACTCATTTCCTGTTTTGAGGGCTCCGCCTGCTTTCTATTAAATAAAGTTTGTTTGTTGGTGGTACCAGCTGTGAAACACATCCTATGCAAACTTTCAAAAACGTTCATAATCTATCTTTACGCTACGTCAACTGACCTGGTTGACAATTACGTGGGTCACACACAAATGATAATGCATTCGTTTTTGTAGGTTTTAAAACAGTGAACTATAAAAGTAACATTTTGTTTTGATAATAATATGTCTACACTTCTAATTAAACATTAACACATAAACATTAATGCAGGACTTTTACTTATAATACAGTCATTTTAGACTTTGGTGTTGGTAGTAAGAATCTGAATAGTAATGTGTTAAACAGAGGCCCAAAACACTTCCTTTATGAGAAACGTGCTGCACTTGCAAATTAAGAAGCATCTTCCCCACCTAGACAACACGTGTGCAGCATTTAGGAAACATTTACCAACTTGACGAAAAATGCGCAGGGTTTGCATTAAGGAGACGCTACAAACACAAAACGGTGAAAAAATAAACGGTGCAAGAATCTAAATGTCATACTTGCTTCGTTTTTGAAAGTGCAGCGTGTTTTCTCCTAATAGAAGTGTTTTGGGCAATTGTAGCGAATCATATGAATCATATGTGCAATATATTTTATAATATATGTACAGTTGTTATAATAACATTAAAAAATTGTTTTAAAGTCTGTACTTATTAACTATACCTTTGTAGGTTTTGTCTTATTTTAAATAGAGGAACACATATCACCTGCATACCTAATGCAACAAGCTTGTTTTACCTAAAACAGGTGAGTGACACTGGCCTGCAGGTTACCATGACAAGACAACAAACAAATGCGGTGCTGCTGTCAGCCGAGAGCGTTTTCCCACAGCATGCACTTGAAGTATGGCAGCCAGGTGACAGCTTGGTGCCAGGAGGCTTTTCAGTCATCACTTTGAGCTCTCCTTTGAGCTGAGAAAAATATGCAACGCCAGCAAGATCAGGATACTGTGATACTGTAAGTGTTAAACACAGCCCAGGGGGAGATACAAAGAGTGATACAAAAAAGTGTTTTTAAATCAAGCAAAGATATGAAAATGAGCTCCAGCTTTATCAGCTACAATTAATGCAATAGTACAATAATAACTTGAAATGAACCATTCTGCAAAATGGACTTGTGGGTCATGACATGGCAATAGTGGTGTAACTTATTTTGAGTTGACACTATGCTTGGGACTTGTTGGTCTTGATTTGACACTAGCCTTGAGACTTGTTGGTCTTGATTTGACACTAGACTTGAGACTTGTTGGTCTTGGCATTAGTCTTGGGACTTGTTGGTCTTGACCTGGCACTAGTCTTGCTGGTCTTTACTTGGGACTTGGTAGTCTTGTGCTCACATTTATCTATGGACTTGCTGGTATTGTCTTGGGACTAGTGTTAGGACTTGTTGTTGTTGACGAAGGATTTTTTGACCTTCACTTTTTCTAGTGTTCACCAGAGGTAACGAAGTAGAAATACTTTGTTACTGTACTTAAGTCGATTTTTCAGGTATCTGTACTTTACTTAAGTATTTATTTTTCTGAGGACTTTTTACTTTTACTCCCTACATTTTAACACAAATATCTGTACTTTCTACTTCTTACATTTTCAAAACAGGCTCGTTACTTTTGTTTTAATGCATGTAAGGTGAATTATCAATTATTTTTATTTTGCATCATTGCAAGCCTTCCCCGACATCAAGACTGATTTAAAACTGAATGGATGTGACAATAACACGTAGAGAAGACGAGCCATGGTGTGCAGATCATGCACGACAGACGAAAACAACATAAACAACGTAAAAGACGTATGACGAAACAGCTAGGCAGTGACGTTAAGGGAGAAGGGTCTAACGGCATAATGTCCACGAGTAAGACTAGTTCAGTCAGCGACAGGACTGAAAATGAAGACAACATCGACGGAGGCGATTCATCAGACCACCAGCAAGACATCCCGCATCCATGGCCTTACTTAAGGGAGATGTTTGAAGTTGTGGGCGCAAAAACTGTGAATACATTTCAGAGACTGTACTTTTGTGCTTTTACTTTTTAAGTAAACATTTGAATCAGAACTTCTACTTTTACCAAAGTCTTTTTTTACACAAGTATCTGTACTTCTACTTAAGTAAAGAGTGGGTGTCTCTCAATGTCGAGGAAGGCTCCTCCAGAGGCACTATTTCAAGGATGCTACGTCATCGAGTCCCGCCAAAGGACTGTTCCAATGTCCAGGATCCTTGGAATTCTACCGAGGCCGGCGTCGTTCTTTGCGGGAAATTTCGAGGCTGCATATGTGTATCCTCCATGGTATTAAAATCCCCACAATGCTTTGCGCACGGACCAATTTCCAAAATCTTTGGCGGAAATCACGCTCCATTTAAGGCGGGGCCTCGCATATGACACACACCTGCACACCTGTTAGCCTGTTCCACCAATCTTCCTTTTCCGAGGCTAGGAAGGATTCTTGCCTCGCTTCTGAAGGACCTGACTCGGAGACAGGTCCTACCAAGGAAGCGTCCTCAACATTGAGAAACACCCAGAGTGTGTACTTTTGCGACCTCTGGTCTTCACTTGGCATAGTGAACCAAGACTAGAAAAAGAATCTGTATTTCTGCCTCTGTAATGTTGAAAACGTTATGACTTTCGGTTGTCCTTGCAATTTTAGTGAAATGCCTCGTCCATTTGGACTCAAGGATGCTCCAATTAGATATTGGTGTTCATTGGTAAAGGGTCAATGTGATTTCCTAAAACGCGTGCTATAAATCTAGAACTTGATACGCTTATTGAGACCATTTCACACAATTGTTCAATCGGATCAAATGAAGTGATAACTTCATCAACTTCTTGCCAAGGCGTCCAACCGCAAGGTAACAATTTCTGGTTACAACGCATACTTTAACAGCATGAAGCTGAGAATGCCCATACTTTGGGCCCCTTGGTACCAATTGAGCAACGTTTAAACGCCACAGCCTACCTGAGTATTGTTGCTGACCATGTCCATCCCTTTATAACCACATGGTACTCTTCTTCTGATGGCTACTTCCAGCAGGATAACACCATGTCACAAAGCTCAAATCATCTCCAACTGGTTTCTTGAACATGACAATGTGTTCACTTTACTCTAATGGCCTCCACAGTCACCAGATCTAAATCCTGTAGAGCACCTTTGGGATGTGGTGGAACGAGAGATCCACATCATGGATGTGCAGCCGACCAATCTGCAGCAACTGCGTGATGCTATCATGTCAATATGGACCAAAATCTGTGAGGAATGTTTCCAGCACCTTGTTGAGTCTATGCCACAAAGAATTAAGGCCGTTCTGAAGGCAAAAGGGGTCCAACTCTGTACTAGCAAGGTGTACCTAATAAAGTGGCCGGTGAGTGTACATAACATGCAGTGTAATAATAGTGCTTATACTCAGCTATATCTTCTTGAGCTCTTTGTGACACCAGAGAACATGTAAATACACATCAGATATATTACATCACAATTCATTTAGCTCACACCTTTATCCAAAGCGACATACAATAAGTGCATCAAACATGAAGATGCAAACTAAGATAATCAACAATCCTGCAGGTACATCAGCTTTCAATACGGCAAATCATTTTAGGAACTTAATTTGAAAAATTAGACCTTTTTTGGTTTGTTCTTTAGATTGTGTCAGTCATAGGCAGTGGAGACAGGTTGGTTATCACTCAGTCAGCGAAATATATATATCTAGACTTTCTGATATCATGACATCTGTGGCGAAGCAATAAAGAGCTGAATAAACTTCTGTCCAAATAATTTGATTTCCCATTGTGATGACACAGGACGAAAATCAACATATCAGTTTGTATGATTTTGTTTCAGAAAAGTTTGAACGCACCCGTAAAGTATCCAAACTGAAAGCCTTCATTATACAATTATTTTGTATTATAATTATTGGTGCAATGTTAGCAGGTTATGTAAGCTGACTGTTGCAGCAGAGTTAGAAGTTGGAGTCATGAATTCAG